CCTACACATGGGCTGCGGTTGCAGCCAGAGATGGAGCACGCGATTAGACAGACCCTGGGTCTGACTCACGCTACTTATTTTTATGTTCTTAATGCAGTACAGTCCTTAACATTTAACTATAAAGATAATTTTAATTGAAAATATGATTAATCAGAGAAAGCAAATGGGTGGGAGGGGTTTTTTTTTTTACTTTCTTGTGGGTTTTTTAAATTATCTTAAATTCCTCCAGAAGCCAACTTAGACTTTGTTTACTCCTCTTTCCAGCCTTGCCTTAGGATATAATGTCAATGGGAAAGCAGAGCCCATTTATTATGAATGTAGGAGAATTGCAGTGGGTAATTAGAGCAAAATGATAACTTTTCTAAACTTTCTTTTTTGTCTGGAGGATTTAGATGAAAGAAAAAGCTATTTAACACGATTTCATATGATTTGTGTGAAGTTACCTGAAGTTTGAATGAAAGTTTCAGTTAAATGTATTTTGCTTCTAAAAATAAAAAGAAGGGAAAGGTAACTTTGCATGTTTCAGTAGCAGAAAGAATAGCTTCAGGTAGTTTTTTAATAGCATAATAAAAAATAAAATGTTGTTATATGTAAATCCTAGCACCGGGGTGATGGTAGCAACCTCGAGAATCAATGTATATGTATATCTTTTACTGAATGTATATTTAAATGCAGAAACTGCTTGAAACAGATTCTCTTCCAGAAAAGGTTGTAGCCATGTTTTCAGTCCGGTAATTTTTCCATGAGAGAGCAAGCTTTGCCTTGTTAAAGAAATGTCCTTGCTTTAAAGACAGACCAAAAAACCCTGCAGGGATAGGGAATGTTCAGCCCGTTGATGCCTGTGCTACAGCTCCCTTGTAGTCAGCAGAAGGAAGGGAAGGTAGAGCTGCATTCAGAGGACAATTCAGAGCTCCAAAATTAGACAACGGCTTCCGCCCTGGGTGCTCCACGTCTTCTCATGGGGTATCTGGTTACATACTGGAGCTGGGTATCCTGGTCTTCTCGGGACATCTCAGTCTTGGTATGCTGCTTAAAGAAAGCATCCTGCCTCCTCAATCTCATCTGAAACTGAAGATGAAATGCTTAAATTTACTTTTGTAATCTCTTCTGCAGTTCAGTTAATTTGTTTTTGGTTTATCTTGAGTAAGCCCTTTTGCGAGAGTCTTAAGATAAGCTGTCCGGAGAAATATTTATTTCTGAACAAATCTTTATTGAAAACTTTTCTTTTTAAGCTTCTTGGCCACACTTCATTTTCTGAAAAAGCAGGTATTACTAAAGTGTTAAAAGAGCTTTACCAAATCAAAGTTTATGGATTGTATTACCTCACCATGCATTCTTCAAAACATTATTGGTGCAATAATATAATTAAGTTTATGATGGATGATGAAATTTGTGAAAGTATTTCTACAGTAGCTTGGTCATTGGCAGTGGATGATCTATGATGATTCCACTACGTGGTTACTCTGTCTATATACATTGTGTTTCCTTTCTTTCCTTTAGTGCATGGTTCTTCTCTCTCTCTGGTATCCAGTACGTCATCTATTTATTCAACAGTGAGTATAATGAAATGAACAATTTGGGTTTACTAATCAAAATTATTGAATTGACTGGGTTTATTTTGCTAATTATTTTTGCCCTTCACAGAGGAGGAAAAAAAACGCTTTTCATTTGATTGTATTCTGAATGCTAGCTCCGAAAGAAATGTTTACATTCATAAAGATGTCTATGGATATTTAGCAGTATCCTCATTAAGCGCAGATGTTAATGGTCTAAAAGCAGCAGTTTATTTTTTAAGTCAGTATTTTACAACTACGCCAGATAAGTTTTGCTGCAAAGGACCTCAGTACATCTGAGGAGATTTGAACTTCATTACCTAAAGCACGCCAACATTTGCTGAATAAAGTCATTCCAACCTTGTATTAATGATTGGCTACTAAAGAAGTTTGAATAAGGTTTTTTTCTAATGCACAGATTTTAATAATTCTAAAGTAGCCATTTGTTCACTATGCCAGTAATATTTTCTCCAAAAGTATGTTTTCATTTAGGTTATCTGATCCTAAAATAAGGCTCACTGGGGTTTCAAAATAGAGGGGGGGGTGTTAAATGCATGTTGCATGCACTTGTTTTCTCCAATAGTCTCACGAAGGATTTTCCATTTAAACATATACCGTGGAAGACCTTGCAAATTAAGACTATACCCGTGCCGTACCGTAATGGGGAGGTGAGGCTGCAACGTGCAGACCCTGTCTTGCCTAGCTCTTCTCTAGCTAGTTGGGATGTTAACTGCAGCGACCCAGGGGCACAGCAGGTTCCAGCACACACGACTGTACAGAAGTATTTGGCACTGATGGTTAATTCCTAGTGTCTTCACTGCTGTTAATATCCAAGCCAGCCAGATTAAAGGTGGATCATGTATTCCTGGCATGCTCCGATCACAGTTTTGGGGGTTTCTTAAAGCACAACCCCTTTAAAAACCAGTGGATAATCATGACTTCTGAAATACATGTTAATTTAGCAGGATCTTCAATTTCAAGTTCCCACGCAAATATGATGCACCTTCACGCTTACCACACATTCACAGCTGAAACAGGCATGTGTGATACAAGACTGTGTGGAAGAGCTTGCTCGTAGAAGCTCATGCATAAAGTCTATCAAGTCTGTCGAGCCAGCATAGCGTTATTTAGTGTTATTTTACATTCATGTCGCACTGTTCGGAAGCTACATGTGTAACACGGCCTTAAGACCTTGATAATAAATTGAAAATATCACCTTTCGTTATTGACCTTAGGTCAAGCAAGGTCCGTATGAAGCCGAAACAGATAATGCATTGGAAGGATGGAAAACAGACCTTTTCCTCCGGGCTGTTGTTTATAACCATGAGAGCGACAAGGAGAGTACTTGGCAGCTGCTCTCTAAGCTTCTAGTTCATGTGCTTGCTGCCCAAGCACGAGTGGCTCTTAATAGTGTGGTTCCACGGGTATCATTTTCCTGGTGGCTGGTAGTGGACATGTTTACGTAAGGACAGTGGAGTGTGTAACTTCCTACCATATACTTCTCTTCAGGTGATAGCTTCGGTTAGAAATAAGCCACAGTAGCCACAATTTTACTGTGCAGACCACAAGGCACGGTCAGGACATCCACTTTGCCTCCTCACATAACAGTGCCTAGGCAGCACCCAAGTGGGAGTAATTTTTTTTTTTTTTTTCACATCACTTTGGAATACAAAAGCATGGCCTCCATCCCGTGGAGAGCTGAGCATGGGAGGAAGGGAATTGCCTAGGCTCAGCCATGTTCTGTGACAGTCCTGGCTGTTAGAGCCTCATGCAGTCCCTTACGCATGGAACCAGGACATCACTCTTCCAGGGTTCAGACTCAGAGGTGCACTGCTCAGCAGGCTGGGAAGTGGAGCTCAAATGCCTTTCTGCAGGAAGAAGTACCGTACAAGCGGCCTGATTTCTTTTTCCTGAAGAGTGAATAAACTAGGAGATTATCTTAGATGGAATATGGATGTGGGCATCCAAAATAAGGAATTCACACTGCAGTTTTTGAAATGCAAAAAAAAAATTGAAAAATTTGATAAATTTGTTGGGCTGGTTATGTTGAAATATCCTCATGTATTTTCCTCCATTTTTATTTTATAGCCTGAAGAGAAGTGCCAGTCAGAGGTAAGAGCACACCGTGTTTGACAGGCGTAAATGTTCTGTCAAGACACTCTGCGTTTTGTGTCTTGCTATTTTATTTTTCCTTATAATGGTGCAGTAAAGTGCTCTCTTAAAATACATAGATTCGCAAGCTACGAAGAGAGTTGGATGCATCGCAAGAAAAAGTGTCAGCTCTGACAACCCAGTTGACTGCCAATGTGAGTACAACTCTGAGAACAAACACTAACAAGGAAATGCGTCTAATGCACCAACTACCACCCCAGTTTTTCTAAGTGACCAAAAGATTTCATGTGTCTAATGTTCGGTTTGGGTTACCTATGTGTTTAAAAACGTAACTACATGCATGGAGGACCTTTCAAAAAATAACATCCTCTGTCCTACTGAATGTCTTAAATACTGAATTATAATATTCATTTGGCTTTATATATATATGTAAACCATCTTCTGATCTTGAGAAAATCATTGAAGAGGGAATCTTTTTTTATAAATAGTGTCTTGCTTTGACATTTGGGTGGGGTGAGATACACATGAGGGTTGTAATTGGTAGAAGTGTGGATTGAAATGCATTATATTTTGCTATTGCATAAGGATGTGGGCTAATGGCATGACAGGTAATAGTGGCATAAGGGGCTCTGAGAACTAATTTAAAGTTAGCCTAAAGAATAGACATAACTGATTTTTAACCAGGGTAGAGACTACTTCTGCTTGTTTCCTCTGAGGAATTTGATGAGAAAGTAATATAAAACACTTGGGGAAAAAAAAGATTTAGAAGCCAGGAGGTGTTGAGGCAACACTATGTGTGACCCTAAGCAAGTTCGTTTGTGCCTCTGTGCTGTAGTCACAGATAGCAGAAATCTGCAAAACAGAAGCTCGCTAGAAAAATAAGCAGTTCTAGAGTAAATAAGGGACGGATGAATAGTCATCAAATTGGATCGTACTGACGTCCTCGTTTGCGGGAATGAATAAACATCAGAACACGTGCTACTGAAGAGGAGATTCCTGTCCATCAGCTCTCTGAATAGGTGGAATACCAAACTTGGCCAGTAAAGGACAGCTTGCATCTGAGCAGTAACACCTATCACAAGAAGGATTCAAGTGGAAGTCTACTCTGGTGTTGACGGCAGGCATCTCAGTGCTTCATCCAGCTTGCCAAATGGAAAACCAAGAACACAGTTCATAGAGAAGTCAAATAAAAGGGCTCTGACTGCATGTATCCACTCATGTCACTTTCCCAAGAGGAAAAGAAAAACTTTTTTTAAATCTTCCAAAAATTAAATCTTATGTTTGCCTTCCAAATACAAAGAGGACTGGATACATGAGTTGGGTTTCATCCAGAAGCTTCTTTTATGTGTGAGAAAGAACCAGATTCTCTTGCATACATTTGTTTGATCATGTTGTTAAATAACTTAAAATAAGACTTAGTAGCCTGTCTCCAAGAGTAGTGAGTAGCCCAGGCTACTGTGTGCCTGCCCCAGCTGCCATTGATTGACCCAAGGATTTGTGTCCTTTGTTGAAACTATCTTTGCAGAGAATAGTTTTTAACATATGCTACTGCTGGACGTTTTTGGTTTTTTGGGGGTTGTTTTATTGTTGTTGTTTTGTTGGGTTTTTTCCCCCAAAAAAGATAGCATCATTTATTTTGATAATATTCCATTTTTGCTTCGTTCGCTTTGCTAAAATTTTGGGGGGGTTTGTTCACACTATTTAAACTGCTGAGATTTCAACCTGCCCCTTATTTGTCCATAAATCAGCTACAGTCTGCTGCAGAAATGTTGCCATAACTGTCTTAGTAATATATTTCACTCTCTAGCCACCTCTTTTCAGAGAACATACTCTTTTTCCATGTAAAAGGCCAAGTCTGTTCCCAAAAAAGTTAAGACTAATACATGTTGTTTGTTAAGACACTTCTTTATGGACATTGCCTTTACACAAGATTTTTTTTTGTTGTTAATTATTTTAACTTAGGCAATTTGAATCCATCTGTTGAATTTTATTTTTTTTAACTGATTTTTCCTGTATACACACTGCAGCTTTTGATGCTTCTCAGGTCATCATGGGCAAGAATTTTGAAAGGGGTTTGCTCCAACTAGAACGTGAAGATAACTATTTTCCATAGCTCACTGACCAGTTTCCAGAGAGGAATAATTTAACGGTGCCTGATCTGGTTTTGAGAAGGCAACTTTTCCTCAAGGTATAGGTCAAAAATTAAGGGATTGTATCCCGTTATTAATCCATGTGGTTCTGCTTGCCAATTTATTTTTTGTTTTTGCAAAGCATTGCTGAGGATTCCTGAACATCAGTTTTGTTGTTCCCTGTTCATCCTCTCCAACAGAAGCTTTGCAATCTGTGTTTTTAAAATAAATATTTAGACTTTCATATATGTGTAGCATGAGGGTTTAAATTACTTTTTGCTATTTTCTCACAGTCTCAGCTCTGCTTATTTTCATAGGGGCTGATGGGAATGAGAGATGCACGTCCCCGTGTTATTGTACTGCTCATGTTTGTTTTCATTGCGAATGTGAGAACAGTTATTTAGGATAAGTCAGCTGTGTGCTGATGGTGAATAAGTCTGGAACAGCTCTGTGAAAGGTTTTGCTATTCTGTATATATTTAGGTGAGAGAATGTCCTTTTCTGGTTGGAAAGATTCTGCACAATTTTACTTGTTGTTATGTGTATAGAATTATTTTTAATAGAGAAATAAGATATTATTTGCTATGGTTAGTGTAGATCATTATGGCTAATGAGACAAATACATACTGAACTATGCTTGTGTTCAGTTGCATATGCAACTGCATATAGATATATATATATACACACACACGAAATCTATAAATAAATAGATATACATGTGTATCTATAAAACAATCCCATATTGTGGCACTAGAAACTCGTACCCTTTTATCAAGTTTCTTTCCATCTTCTCAATCTACTTTTCCTTCCTTTTACTTCTCAGTCATTCTCAAGTCTTAGCTGATGTCGTTAATATAACTGACAACAGGTTCTCAGTGCTTCATGTTTTGAGTGTAATTGGCCAAGCACCAGGAAGTTTTGGATGATATTTAGCACATGAACCTTGGTTGCGAGCAAGATGCACTCAATTACTGGAGAAGTCTTTGAGTTAGATGCAGGTATATCAGCTGATGAAGCATCTGGCAGACTGGCTACATGCTGCAGGAGTTCTATCTGCAGCCTTATCCCTCTCTGCAGAGAAGGTATCTCTGGACTGAACTGACGGACTTGGCTTTCGGAGTTCTCCCGTTGGGGTAGCACAGTGAGATCTCCACCTCTGTGACTTCCAGCATCTTCCACAAGGAGAACAGTGATCTAGTTGGAGGCAGGTTTCTGCCTGGCTTTCCTCTATCTTGCCCTCAGGGACAAGGGAGCAGAACAGAGCTGGCAGATCTTTAAGGACGCTTTCCATAGGGTGCAAGAGCTCTCAATCCCCAGGTGTAAGAAATCCAGAAAGGAAGGCAAGAGAGCATGGCTGAGTGGAGGCCGTCTGGGCAAACTAAAGGGCAAGAAGGGAATGCACAGGCAGTGGAAGCAGGGACAGGGATCCTGGGATGAATACAGGGATGCTGCCCGTTTGTGTAGCAATGGGGTCAGGAGGGCCAAGGCCCGGCTGGAGATGAACTTGGCAAGGGATGCAAAGAATAATAAGAAGGGCTTCTACAGGTGTGTCAGCCGGAAAAGGAAGGTGAAAGAGCGCGTACCCTCCTTGATGAGCAGGTCTGGCAAACTGGCAACAATGGATAAGGAGAAGGCTGAGATGCTCAGTGACTTCTTTGCCTCAGTCTGCACTGGCAGTGTCTCTTCCCACACCTCTCGAGGAGATGGACTGCAAGACGGGTCTGGATGAGCAAAGTCCCTCCCACTGTAAGAGAAGATCACGTTTGAGACCGCTTGAGGAACCTGAACATGCACAAGTCTATGGAATGCATCCCAGAGTCCTGAGGGAACTGGCTGAGGTAGTTTCCAAGCCACTCTGTGATATTTGAAAAGTCCTGGCAGTCAGGTGACA